AGAGGGGTACTAGGCGGTCAGCAGAGGAAAGCCCACAGAACTGGTCTGAATGGCTCACTTCAGGAGCGAGGAAGCTTGGCCTCAGAGACAGGAACACGATAGTCCATGTCCAGGTGGATTTTAAAAAGCTTATTTCTTTCTCTCTTTTGTATGAGTTTTGTTGTTTTCTGAGACAAAGTCTATGTAACTTTGGCTGGCCATGAGCTTGTGAACCTCCTCCCTTTGGCTTCTAGGTGCTGATTTATGGCCCACCATGCTCAGCTTAAGATGTGTCTCTCATTTAGCAAATGAGGAAGGCAGAGTCCTATTCTTAAGAAACCAACGCTTCAGTTACAGTCAGATAGTGAACAGTAAACACACTAATGTCCCATCTTCATGTGCTCAGTGGTGGGGTTCACTAACACAGCACAGAATTTAAAGGCGGCTCATCAGGAGTCAGCAGGCAGGCAGTGGTTACACTGGAAGTACCATCCTGGAAGCTGGCTCGAGGGGCATGTTAACAAGCGGGCAGATGGGTTTTCATTGGTGACATGAGTAGGGTTTAGGGCATGCAACTGATTGGAAAGAATGCCTTGCCGTTAGCACAATAGGCAATCAGGCACCCCTGAGCCCAACAGTCTCACACTAGTGGTATGATCCTCTTGGGATGACTACAGCACACATACTCTGTACCCCAAATTTGAACAAGGACTCAAGACACCCGGTGAGCTTACAAGCCAGCGTTTGCCTATTACTGCATCACAATGTCCATGGCCCTTTCATGCCAGGGCTTGTTCAGGACCTGGAGTAGAGAGGGGTGGGATGACCATTTTCCTCATCCATCCTGTTCTCACATCCATCATGTTCTCACATGAGGAGAGCTTCCCCACCACAATGTAGCAGTGCGGCTACGGTGAAGGCAGCACCTTCTCACCAGCTGCTCATGCTCCGCTCCTCTTTTTCTGCTCTACAGCTTAGGCTGCCTGGAATTTTCTGTATATCTTTCCAGCTTTCCACCTATCCATCTATCCACCTATCCACCTATCCATCTATCCACCTATCCACCTATCCATCTATCCACCTACCCACCTATCCACCTATCCACCTATCCACCTACCCACCTATCCACCTATCCATCATCTATCTATCTATCTATCTATCTATCTATCTATCTATCTATCATCTATCTCAGGCTAGCCCAAAATTTGCAATCCTGCCTTTGTCTCCCTACGGCTAGGATTACAGATACAGGTCCCCATTCTCAGCTCTTACTCTCCACTTTTAATTGCCACAGACAAAGAGAATCTGACTCTACAGAATGGCCAAAGTGTAAACATATGGGAAAATGCAAACACATATAATGTAATTATGTGACACAGAGAGAAGAGGAAGCCAGGAGTATATAGGTTGGTAGGCAGCTGAAGGAATCCTTCATATAAAAATCTTTTTTAAAAAAAGGCTATTATAGAACAGCACGCGATGGTGGTGATAAGAATGCTGGCAGTAGAAGGGACCCAACATGCCATGTACATCTTAAACAACTGAGGCACAGGCTGGCTGAGTGGTCTCCCTACAGACACAGATGGTAAGAGAGCCAGGATTGCAGGTTGGCTGTGGGAAGGAAGTGAAACTACCTGAGGGGAGGGAGTTACGGGGTTAACTCTGGTCCAAGGTTTGACTTTAGCTCACTGAGAAAGAGAAAAATCCCCCACACCTGGGTGACAGCAGCAACTGTCAAGACTAGCAGAGGGTGGCAGGTGTGAGCTGCCAGGGTTTTACTTTCAAGACTTTTCAGTGGTCGTATCTGAACTGTGCCTACATGTGAACACAGGGAGGAGGAGGCCAGTGGCCAGGGAAAGGCCACTGCAGGAAAAATACATAACCTGAAGACAGGCCTGCTCAGGGGCCGGAGGCCTGAGCAATGTGGGAACCTGGGTTCCATCACCTCCCCGTGTGGTTCCTGGCCTGAGCTCCAGGGAGGGAGGGTAGCTAGGATGGACACAGGAAGTGTGAACTCTGCCATGGCCACATGGGGGCAGCATAAAGCCACTGTCTAGATGACAAGAAAGCAAACCGCACCAGAGCACAGGAGGCCACATGGCTACACTTAGGATATGAAAGAAGTTTATAGTTTAGACAAGAAAGAGGGATTAAAAAGAGAAGGTGAGGATGGGGACACCGAACTGTGGAAAGGCCATTTCAGCCCCTCTTCCAACTGGTCCCTTTCCCTCATGTCACTTCTTGTCACCTATGCTGTGAAAGCTCTTCCAAAGTATTTACCCAAATGTCATCTTTCAGGGCTACATCTCCCTGGACCATGCTGTTGCAATATGAAATGGTCCTGCAGGCCAGGATCCTTTATGCCCCTGGGTAGTGTCGTTTCTCTGTACAGCACTCAGCACCAACTGATAGGCCTTTATAACAGTACTGTATTATTGATTGTTTTCTCCAAACGGGAGTGTAGACTCCATGAAGCCTGTCTGACCACCACCATCTCCCAGGGACTGAAACCTCTCAGGGCCACATGATATGCGTTCCCCAAGTGTCTTTTGGATTAGTTAGTCAATGGGCTCTATCCCCAGTTCAGGCGTCCATTTGCTTCCAACATAAAATTTCAAATGCCCATTGGACAGCTCCATGCAGCCATGAAAAGCTGGCCTCCTCCAAATGGCACTCACCACCTCCCTGATTCCAGTCTGATCACTCTGCTCCTCCACAGTGTCCTGCCTCAACCTGGCATAACCACCCTGTCAACTATACAGCTGAAACAAGGGTCCCCTTTGACACACCCTTTCCCTCCTTGCGACCTGTAACTGACCATGCAGTTTTCTTATGCTTTTCTGAATATCCACAAGCATGTGGCATTCTTACTTCTCCCTTTTCCCATCTACATTTTCTCCAGGCTACATGTTCTTCCTTGGAGTCAATGCAAGTGTTATTTCCTCCTCTTTGGCCATCAGAGTGAACTCCCAATCCATGTCTGATTTTGTCTTTCTCTCTAGAAGCCCCTCTTCTTGCCCTCATGGACAATCAGCAGGCTAGCCTCTCTGACGGAGTTTCTTCGGAACTTTGCTGGTCCTCTTCTGGGCTCTTCAGATGGCGTTTCTCAGACTAGCCTAATCTTCCCATCTGTGTGTGCCTGTAACTCACGATTCTTCAAGTCCAAGTTCAGATGCTGCTCTTCCAGGAAATGCTCTCGGACACATTGACCACCACATCGCTGCCTTCTGGTAGCCCAGCCAGACCGTGCTGTAGCTGTATCCACATGTAACTGCACACATGCCTGCCCCTCGCTGAGAGGAAACACCGTGCAGGGTTCACCCGGTTCTGGTGCAGCCACTCCCTTCCTGCCCTCTTCTCTCTGAGGACCCAAGTGAACACACTTTTCATCACCTAGTGTTTCATCTTCCAACCACACAGTCAGAGCACACTGATGTTACTCAGAGGGCAGGTCTACCCAATTCTTGAGTTGGTTTTTTTTTTAAAAAAAAAAACAAAAACAAAAACAAAAACAAAAACACAGTGTCCCCTCCCCAAGAGACTACCCATCACTCATCATCCTAAGAGTTATGTGACCAGTTGATTTAATCTAAAATTTCATCAAACTCATAATGGAATGAAAACAGGAAGAAGGCTCTCATGGCCTTGCTTTAACAGGGAGAGTGGGATTTAAAATGTAGCTGTCAATGTCTAATTTTGTGGGTCCAGTTTTCAAAATGAGATGGGGATGAAGAAAACCTCAGTGTATTCACACCACAGAGAGAGTGAGCATAGGCTGGATGGGTCCAGGGGGTGCTGTGTGCCGACTGAATGGCTCTCATTGCCTGATAACACGAGAGACTGTTTACTAAGGACGTAATGGGAATGCTTGTTAAGCAGTATGTTAGATCCTTGGATTTTGGATGTTTTATAGGCAGTTAGGCAAATGAGTGCCAAAACAGGTCCTATGTGTGGAGAAAAGATAGGAAGATCTTCTTGAGGAATAAGCATGTGAGTCTTCCCTATACGGGACATTCCCAGGGTGATCAATGAACTGACAGAATGGAGTCAGAGGGACAACACAGGATCAGTAACAAATCAAGAGCTCAAATGTCTCAGTGAAGTCCTTTTTTGTGGGGTTTGAAGGCAAGGGACTAAGAATATCCCAGTGCAGAGGACTTCCACGGCAAGAAAACACAGGAGTTTTGCATGAAATAGGAAATGGTATAGGACATATGGTTTAGCTCATGGCAGGTGACAAAACAGGACTTTAATGCTGTTATGTAATTATTCAGCTGCTGTGGCTCTACAACAGGTATTCATGCCTCGTGTGTGTGTGTGTGTGTGTGTGTGTGTGTGTGTGTGCGCGCGCGCATGCGCGCACGAAAACGTGCAAGCCGCACTACACTATGGAGGCCAGAGGACAACCTCAGCTGTTGTCCTCCCTTCCTGCTTTGTCTGAGAAAGAGTGCATCACTGCAGCAGGCCCTCGACTGGCTAGCCTGTCAGTCTCTGGGGATTCAGCTGGTTTTGTCCCTCCTACCAGGAACACTGGGATTTCAGATGGCTGCTACTGTGCTCAGATTTACGTGGTTGTAGGTCTTCATACTTGGCATGACAAGTGCTTTACCCACAGAGCCATATCTCCAGCCTCCTTTTATTACTTATTCTTCCAACAGACTAGAAAGGCCAACAGACACCTTTTAGAAACCTCTTTGTAGTTGCTATCACAGGTGCCTGCAAATGTAAGGTCATGACACTCACAGGACTGATGGGTACTCAAAATGGAAGCTTAGATAGACTATTAAATCCTAATGCCCATGGTGACATGATAGTTCTCTGTTACAGTTAGCCAACATGTTAAGTTGTGGATATAGTTAAATTTCTTCACTGTCCTATTACCTCATGCTAGGAATCTTTTTAAAAAGATACAAGCAAAACCTACAAGTTCATAAGCTAGGTATTTTGTGGATTTTCACAGCTTTGAGAGTGATGTTTGTTTATTCCTGTAATGACCTTTCAGTGGTCCCACGTCAGCCTACCTCCGGTCTGTGGGGTACAGTTCCACCGTGACTACATCAAGAGAATTCCATGCTGAGATGGTCAGTCCATTGTACAGACACAGCATGCCTATCATCATGGATTCGCTGGTGCCAAACCACAGGAAGAAGCAGCTGATCCCTGAGAGCACCATGGAGCCACCTGCCAACAGAAGACAAAATATGGAGTGTTTCCTGTCATCTTGGGAGAGTGAGGACCTTTGGGCCTCAGAGCTCTCTCAAGAAGACAGTTCTGTGTGATAGCTGCAGACTGGGCTCCATAGGATGAAGCTCAAGTGCATCCACCTGTTTGAAAGGCAGTCTAAATGCCTCTCAAATGTGAGAGTACAGAAGCACATCACCTCTTACTCATCTACTTAAGCGGGAAGATATACATTAGTTACACATAACCAGTTTTTCAGTCTGTAACTCATGGAGATTGCTCATATGAAATGTAACTAGACACAATTTTTACTATAATTCAGTCCTAATCAAAGGCCTAAGGGATTTCTTATGTACGGTGCATTTCTAAGGGAAGGGGAACAGGGTAGGAGGCGGGTTCCCTCTGGGTCACAGGGGCAGCTCTTTTCCTTTCCAGGCTTGTAAGCACACACCTAGCATCGTTAAGCGCCCAATCCGGTCCATCAGGAGAGCAGACACAATATTTCCTGGTAACACCGCCAATGTCCCAAGAAAGTTGACAAAGTAAATCCAGTAGGCACTGTAGTCATCATCAAAGGTTATCTGGCATCCTGTCTTGTTGTGAAGAAACGAGCAGTTTTGAAATTCGCTGTCAATGAATTTATATGGCTCAAAATCTGTAGAAACAACAACGAATAAAATCCATCAGGTTCTTGTCAGGTTCAAGTAACAGATATGGGTGGTCCCAGAGAGCCACTGAGAGACTTCAGCTAAGAAGCATGGCACCGACAATTCCCTCAGGGTCCCACAGCTGGAGCTGGCTTGACTTTTTGTGTTTCCTTACCAGAGCATGAGAGCTAGCCTGGCACCCCACGCTAACAAAGTAGTAGCATGGAGGGCTCCCTTTGCTGGATAAGGGGATACGTTGACTACAGTGTCCAGTTTTCTTGATTCCCTTTGGCCTTTGCTAATTATAGTATTGCTTACACCTTTACAACATTATTATATTTACCATGTTATGTAAAGATTATCATTTTTAGTAGTAATAGGTTCTAGAATACAATTATAAAAACAATTTGGTTTAAAATATACATAAACTGGCCTCATCATTGTCATTTTTAGGGGCTCTGAAGTACACAGAAGGAGCAGGACTCTCTGACTCTTTGGGGCTGCGTTTATAATTTACGGTCCATGTAGATAAGTCCACAGAAGAATGAAGACCAGTCTCCCCCGAAGGCCATCAGCATTCATTCTATGCACTTGGTGGTTATTGTTCCCTTATCTCCTCAAGAAGGATTTTACATGGTGCTGGGTTTGCTAACACAGCCCAGGCCAATTCCTTGCTGGTCAGGAGTTACCCTCCGCTCCCTCTTCTGAGGTCAAATGGAGAAGACAGTGCTTGACCTCATCTCTTTGGAGTAGGGCAGAATTGGCCCTGACTGAGCACCAAAAAGACCGCCAACAGGGCATGCACCGCTCTTTGCACAGCACCAGGATGGGAGTCGAGACAAGTGAGTGGGGTGGGAAAGCACTGCAGTCGCATGTACTCAGGGAGCGCAGGTTGTTGCTTACCAGGCCATTCATTGTGACCAAATTAGTTAACTTCTCTAATTCCAGCACTTGGGAGGCAGATGAACGTGGATTTCTGAGTTCAAGGTCAACCTACTCTACAGAGGCAGTTCCAGGACAGCCAAGGCTACAGAGAAATCTGTCTTGAAAAACCAAAACAAAAAGTATTCCTCCGAGGCTATTTATTAACTTACTTATTTGTCTAGCTTTGAACTTAGGTAAGCGTCTATATTAAACCCAAGAAAGCAAAACAATACCAGTTTGCTTTTGAGTCAACGTGACGCAGTGAAATCGTTCACTCGCACTTTGATCTCCCCTTGCCACACAATCCTCTAGCCCCACTGTCACATGATTCTGCCAAGATGCTGCCCCTTGAAGGAAGTAGCCTAAGCCATACCTACCTGTGTTCTCAAAAAGGGTATCAATGAACGTGCAGTTCTTGAAGTAGGTGTTCACTGAGGTCACATCGTCAAAGGTGCAGGACTTAAACACTGAATCTTTGAAAGTTACAGATTTGAACTTGACTCCCAGGAATCTGTACAACACATACACACACAAACAAATTGAGGCCAATGACTACTAAGTCAAAGGGATTTAGAGATTTGACACCTTGCTATAGCCATCCTTAAGTTATAAAGGGCATCTTGGCTTTCCGGGCACTTTGCCTTTTCCCATTTGGCCATGGACATACTGTTTTTTGGCTGCACCACTGTTCAGTATTATTCCCTGTCAGGAGAAGCAATGACACCAAGTCCAGTTGGGTTTTTGCAATCATGGCAAAAGGTCTCGAGAGCTAGAACATCACCTGTGGCTCTCTAGATTGTTTCACCCCCATCCTCTCCCATCCTTCAACCTCTGAATGGGTTCCTTTTTTGGGAAAGTCTCAACTGAGACTAGTGAATCTAATTTAAATATGTGTTAATATCTGAACTTTATATTTTTATGTATATTTATAGTTTACAGTGATGAAAACTGAACCTAGGGACTTGCAGTTTTAGACCGGTGTTCTACTACTAAGCAATATTCCTAGCCTCTGAGTTTTTCATAAAAGTCTGTTTTCTAAGTTTAGAACCTTAGATGGTAGAGAATGAGAGTTCTGCCTTTTCACAGGAGCAGTGACTGACAAGGGTGAAAAAATATTCAGACTTATTTCCACGAGTCTTTTTCTTCTCACAGTCGAAAGACAGTCCTTGAGCCAACTCAAAACACAAGAGCTCTGTTGACTTTGGAATGATGTGCAGAATGATGAAATGGGTTCAAATACGTATTAAAGGCACTGCAATGGGGAATCTGGAGTAGTGGAGGTGATAATGGCCTTAATGAGCCTAATGTCTTAAAGGAGCCTGTGGGTCATCGATATGGACTCACTGAAGCCATGGAGAAGTGTGCACCAGGGAGTCATGTTTATTATGGTCTCCCAGGAAGAGGGTACTGTATTAGCCACACCCCTCTTAGAGAAAGAGACTGGTCCTTAGAGGCGTGCTAGCTGCCTTCAAAGCAGTTTGCTCACTACTGAGCACTCTCGGACTTACATCCTAATGGGTATTTGTTATTCAATTGTAAATGTACTGTAGCCTCACAGACCAACCAGCTTCAAAAATTTCTCCACCCCGGGAGCCCGAGTGAAAGCAGTCAAAAGTGCTAAAGGAGGCTAGAAAACGGTGCATTTTGTGAAGACCGACAACTTTAAAGATGAGCCTGAATTTGGGAAGGGGAAGCAATTTTAATGTCTGAGACACACAGAGCACTCCTGGTGTAAAATTCAAACGGTGGGAGAAGGAAATGGTAACCCTCTACCCCCCACCTCCTGCTGGCTCTCCCGGAACACTCTGCATACAGACAAGCAGGGACTCCTTACATTTCCTGTGCAGGGTACCTGGACGGTATTCCACGTCAGGGTGTCGGGTAGCATCTCCACTGCACAGGGAAGCTACCATTTAAAACGGAGTCGGCAGCACTACTTCAGATTTCTCTGAAAGACCAAACCCTTTCTTCTAGCATCGAAAATAAATGTGTAACACACGCAAAACCCTATGTTTGCAAGATTTTTCTTTGTTTAGGGTCCTAAAATCTTTCTTTCTCCCCTGCCTCTCTCTCTCTCTCTCTGTGTGTGTGTGTGTGTGTGTGTGTGTGTGTATGTAGGAGAGAGTGTAGGCCATGGCATACTTGTGGAGGATAGAGAAAAACCTCCAGTACTGTTCTAGCTTTTCCACCTTGTTCAATAAGGTCTCCTTGTTTTTCCCTGCACATAGCTCAGGCTAGCTCTCTTGTGAACTTCCACTGATTTTTCTGTCTCCATCTCCCAACTCTCCATACGAGTGCTCGGATCACACATATGTGAGTAATCAGGCCTGGCTTTTGTGCGGATTCACCAAGCTTTCAAGGCAAGAACTTTACCCGTGGAATCACCTCCCAAGCCTGGTTTTTGGTCTTTTGAGACAGATTTTGACCGTGGAGCCCCAGGCTGGCTTCAACCTCAGTCTTTTTGTCTCTGCCTCCCAAGTGCTTGGATGACAGGTGCACGCCACCATATCCAGCTCAAGAATTTTAAGGGAGAAGTGGAGAAGTGTCAAAGTTATTAATATTCTGGATATTAATTAATAAACTGAACACTAAGAGTGATAATAAATGTCACTAAAATTATGACTATTTCAGACCTAAAAATTAATTTTTTTCTTTTTTTTTGTTGTTTCTGTTGTTCTGAAACATGTTCTCATTATGTGGTACAGACTATGAATTGTGCTGGACTCCATCTCACCGGCACCAGCCTCCCCTCCTGAGTGTTGGGATTACAGGCATGCACCACCATAACTATTGTATCTTAGAAATTTCTAATGGAAAAACAATACTTTTTGAAACAAATCCCAACACTTGGGAGGCAGAGGCAGGCAGATCTCTGCAAGTGTGAGGCCAGCCTGATCTACAGAGTGAGGTCCAGGACAGCCAGGGCTACACAGAGAAACCCTGTCTCTGAAAAACCAAAACCCCATTCATCCCATTGTCACAGAAGGTGATGCTCAGGGTTCTCTGAAATACAAATGCCAGTGATCGTAGTTCAGGGGGGTGCACAAGGCACATGCCACATGGCTTGGTTGTGGTTAGATCTCTCCTTATTCCACTCACATGTCTCCAGTCATCCATTTTTCATCATCTTCTTTTAATTTTATAAACTTTATTATTGAAAAACTTGCAAGTAAACACACACACACAAGATAAATTGCTAATTAGGATGATGACCCCCATACTGGCAAGTATCCATTATCCAGACTGCAAGCATTCCACAAACCTTTTTCATCTTAACAAACAGGTTTTTGCCTTGGGGAACTTTGATTATCTTGTATTAAAAAAAACCCAAAACTTTTATTATTTTAAAAATTAAAACAATTTTCTCAGAATAATGAGCTACTGAGAGTTCATATCAGTGATTTTTGCTCAGAGAATACATAGCTGAACTTGATTATCTTGTCTATCCCTTTTTCTCTCGGAAAAGAAGCAGACCCACCTTCCGGAGGCCCTGGCTTGCCTAGCATTAGGAAGCAGCCCAGTCCTGTGCTCATCCTCTGCTGTTTTCACATCCCTTCACTTGGGGAGACCATTTCTGCTCTTACTGACAGGCTCCCTGACACACCAGCTCTCCTGCTCTCTATTTGCTTTGTGCAGTGGAGACTTGAAATGGGAACTTTTTAGAAAAGGGAAATAAATTCTCACTTACATTCCTGTTTCTTCCCTAACTCAGGTAAGTCTCTCACCATTCCCATGTCTTCAAGCGGTTCTCTCTTCTCTTCCCTAGCTTGTCTATAGCTCTCCAAGGGTCTCTAAGCTCTCTTCAAATGGGCAGTTGGTTCTGCTGCATAATAGGCATGAGGCAACTCAGTCTAAGAAGTGGTTTTGTTGTTTTTTTACCCCTTTTTTTCTCAAGAGGCACATGATTGATTCTCTGCCAATTTCTGAAATTGTTTGAAGTAACTGACAAGTGTGTATCTTTAAAGTGAATTTTAAGTTATTAAAATTCATCCACAAATAACAAATACTACAATTGAAAACCCTGTAGACTTTAGTTATTAATCGTACACCACTCTGAAGTGAGTTTTTGTGACTAGCTGGCAAGGTAAGTTATATCAAAGTTTCCAGACCTGCCATTGTCATACTCCATTCCGGTGTGGACCTGGTTTTCCATCGTGAAGTTAATGCTGAAGTTTGAGTATTTATCTTTTTGCACATTTCTAGTTAGCAGTGCATACTCATCAGATTGCAAATGCTTAATGACATCGGGGAACCAAACGGACAGTCCATAGTACCTGCAAAGACAAAACCAAACAAACAAAAAAAGAGTGTAGCAGCACACACAGGGCATTTGTAAGGTCCTCCCTTACATATCCAGAATGGCAGCAGCGCTCAGAAGCACTTCCAGACATGACTGGCACCTTGAAACATTTGAACAAATTATCACATAGTAATTGGTATGCCACCCCTCCCCTTGCAAAACCAAGGGAGAGAGACAGCTGGAACATCCAGGCGTGCAGTTCCTGGGAGAGATGAATCCCATCCTGTACCCACAGTATGAAATGAGGCATTTGGGCAGCGTAGGTAGAGTGAAACACATAGCATGCTGGACCTGATGTCGCTCCTACCAACCCGGCTCCACTGAGGAGCCGCATCTCCGGGGGCCCAGGAAGGAAGAGCTCACAGGACGGACTCTGTTCCTTCTAGTGCAGCAGCACTGCTTCCTACACAACTGTGACACTGCTTGTCTGCAGTAGGAGCCATGTTCCCAAAGGGGTTCAAGGCAGCAGAAAGGGACATTTGAGGTTCTTTTCTCCCTCTTTCCTCCTCTCCCCATTCTGCTCCTTCTCCTCTCCCTAGCCTTTCCCTCACACCTGTCCTCCATTGAGACCAAGTCTCATGTAGCCCAGATGGCCTCAGATGTCTTATGGAACTGAGCAAGGCCTTGAACTTCCAATCTTCCTGCCCCCACCTCCCACTGGTGGGATCCCAGGCATTGCCACCATGCCTGCTGTACAGGGGCTGGGGGATAAAGCTCAGAGCTTCATGCATGCCAGGTAAGCTCCCTACCAGCTGAGCCGCCTGAATAACCCGGAAACAACTACCAGGTGATTTCCACTCCCTGCCTCATGATCTCTCATGTGTGACTCTAAAAGCTGTGACATGCTGCTTGGCTGTTGGCAGCCACTGGTCAAATGCAGCCCCTAAGCCCCTGAGAGGTAGTCAGTCCAATCTGAGATGTGATGGTAGCACAGGGTTTTCAAGAGTTTGAAAAAAAACATGAAAAATCAGTTATTAATAATGTTATATTGATCATAGATACTACTTCAGACATAATGAGTTGAATAAAACAGTATTAAATTTAAATTTACAGATTCTTTTTCTTTTGTGGGTGTGGCTACCAGAAAATGTCAGGAGGAATATGTGGATCAAAGTATATCATACTGTTACTGTAATGTTGTTTTGAAACTATGATCCCTGAATCCACATCCATGAACCTGGCCTGATCCAGGACGTGGTGACTCTGGGGTGGAGTACACAGGGTACTGCAGTGCTGTGCACTCCAGTTGTCTTCTAGTTTATTCCAGTGATACTCAGATGCCCGGGAGGAAGTAGTTTGCAAGTAGACAGAATTCAAGTCCTGGTCTTGTTTGCCTGCGGCGTGACCTTGGGTCCCTTGGGTCTTGGCTTACTTTTATGATGACTAGGATGTAGATTGCCTTCCATGGGCTGTTGCTCAGATATAATGGGATGCAAAGTGCCTCCACACTAACGGTACCAAAAAGACCAAATGAGTCACTGTAATCATCGTCATTGTCACCAGGAATCCTCAGACATTTACTCCGGAGAGTCCCATGGTTTTCCACCCCCATACTCCTCATAGCTTGTGCGCCAACGCAGTTGGGGTGTAAGGGTGATCACGGAGCAAGCAGTGACTCAGGGCTACGACACCAGCAGGTTGCTCTCTAGTGCCAAGGCAAAAGCTTGAGAATGACGAGGAAGGCACATGACGAGGAGTTTTATCTGATGTTTTATTTATTCAGCAAACATTTGCTGAATGCCCTTTCAATGGCAGGCAGTGCTGAGATTTCATGAAAGAAATCCAGATAAGCACAGGCTAGCAGCTGCATCAAGGACCACTTTTTGTCTATCTTTTTCGTGCCTAACTGCTGAGTTAGTGGTTGGCACCCAGTAGTATTGATTTCCATCTCTCTCTTCTAAAATTATGTGTCCCCCAGAACAAGGGAGGGAGCCCACGACCTCACACATGCCTGGCAAATGCTGTACCACTGAGTTAGGCTTCCAACTCTAAGCCTCTGAACTTAGACATGGGAGATGGAATCACATGGGTAACCATTGCAGAATGAGCTTCCAGGGTCCCTGCCCGAAGCCTTCCCCTTGTCCTTCATCACACCAACACAGGGAAGGGACCTCTCTGCCTGCTTTACTTTATGGATGTCAGGAGGTGGGAGCCACACGGTCAATGCTGGGCTCTACCGGTCACCCAGATCCTTTTGACCTGACAGTGCAGGGTTGTTTCCTTATTGGCTCTTATACAGGGATTAGGTGAAAGGGTTTCACACACATTCTGAAATAGAGATACCAAGTATTAGTAAATAAAACCATGGCTTGCCTTCCTCCATTCTTAGAACACACATATGGTAGTTTTATTATTATTATTATTATCTTAGGTGGCATTCTGCAAACATTTTTAACTCCAGATCCAAGGATTCCAGTGTTCGTTTCTGGTATCCGTAGTAACGCCTGTGCATGTGACCCTGCACATGTTAATATTCGAAATAAATCTTTAAAAAACCTTTTGTATAGTAGAAAATAGAATGTTCCACAAGAAATAATAAAGCTAAGAAGGAAACAAGGAGTGTGGAATGGAGAAACTGTAATTTTAAAAAAGGAAGGAAAGAAGGAAGGAAGGAAAAGAGTGATGGAGAAAGAGAGGCAGGGAGGGAGAGGAAGAGGAAGAAGGACATAGCTAATGCAGACATATGGTGACTGAGAGGGTGACATGGCTTCCCAAATGCCACAGGAAGGGTCAGTTTATTAGTTATAAAAATGTAACTATCAGCAAATGTCTGCGGCTGTAAAAAAAAAAAAATCTTTTCTATCAAGTTTGCAGATGTGAGCCATAAGAGATATTTTGAAGAGAAGAAAGCAATGAGGAAAAAGACAAAGAAAGAAATGAAAGGGTTAGACTAATTTTGTAACCTGTATGTGTTCTAAAGCCTATAGTTTTGAGTTTTAGGTTCAGGTTAAGCTAAAGCCTCTTAGTACCTTTCCAGAGAATGGAGAAATGTGACCCTATCTGTGAGGACAGATAGAAAAAAAAAAGCAAGCAAGCAATGACCTCAGCAAAAAGAACGACCAGACCCTTGTCTTCAAGATAGTGTTTCTTAGCAACGAACCCAGACGGCCTCAATCCTTCTTCTGAGTAGCTCCTGACCTCCAGCCAAAAGCCAGCCCTAATCTTCAAGGATGAGCTAACCACCCCCACCTTCAATTGCAGCTGCATCCACACATGGCAGGACTGGCCAAGCTTGAGCATCTAAGATTAACCAATTATCTTACTTTATAGCTTCCTCATCCAATCCTAAATTGCCAGAACTGCAACTTCAAATTTCCCGCAATTTTTCTTTTAAAAACCTAAAGGCCTTTGTCTCCTGGTGCCACTCTTTGCTGACCAGCAGGGGTGACCCCATTGCGCAATGGTTAAATTAAACCTCTTGTTTTTGCAAGTCGTGGTCTGGGGGAGTTTCTGGGAAGGGCGCGATCTTGAACTCCTGAGCTGTGAGACCCCAGGTCTTACAGAAATAACTGGGAGCCACAATATAACAGTTGATTTTTTGTCCACCAAGAAGTTAAATGTTACTTACCCAAAGGACAGGGTGAACCAAACAATCGTAAGCTTGATGGTGTTTTCCCTGACTGGGTAGTTGAAGCATCTCATAAAAGTCAACCAAATCTGTGAAATTCCAGATGGTTAGTTTTCTTACACAATTATACAGTGAATGCACTTCCCAGACCTTCCCATCAAACTCTAAAAGTTCAGCATTCTTACAGAGCTCAGTTAACTTCATGAAAGTTTTAACACAACACAGAAGCAAAAGGCTGAGATGTTCTTCTTTCTTTCTTTCTTTCTTTCTTTCTTTCTTTCTTTCTTTCTTTCTTTCTTTCTTTCTTTCTTTCCTTCCTTCCTTCCTTCACAGGCCTTAACTACCAAGGCTGCCCAGCAATGCTCACTTTTCAGCTTTCTGGAGACCAACAGCCACTAAGACAGACTTCATTGCCCCAATTCTTGGACTGACACCTTCCTTCCTCAAGATGGATCCACTAGCTGCTTAGCTGAAAGGGGTCCAATTTGCTGGTCCTAGTGCAAGAGACAGGTGTCCTAGATGGACTGGACAATCCCTCCTCATGGGACAGGCATCGTCAGTCCCTCCTGGGACCACCACCAGAGGTCAGCAGTTGACATGTAGGCTGCTATAAAATACATACTTACTCCGTGCAGTTCTGTGCGGATCCGAACAAAACACCTCCTATACCACGTTCCTGTGTCGCTCTCAATTTCAATCAGCTCATCTATTTGTTTGGGAGTTTTGATTTTATTTACCTGTGGACAGTAACAGAGTGCAAAGCGCTGGGTTCTCTTTCCTGATTTGATTAGAGACTGACAGAGAAGGACCCTATTTGCCAAGTGTGGGAACTGTGGTTGGACAGCTGGTGGGAAGGATATGAAGTTACAAACATGTAGGAGAGAAGGCAGTGTACTGGGCAATGGACAAGTATTTAAGACTTTCTGAAGATGAGTGCAAGTGTTAGGACATTGAGTGATGAGCACGGAAACAAGCCAATCGCAGATGAGGTGGCAAGCTAGGGACAATGATCACTGATGTCTAGGAGACCAAATTACAGGGCATGGCGATTTACTAGATACCATGAGGATGAAGAAAACAAATAAATAAGATTTTTTTCAGTTTTAAATTTGGGTGGTACTGGTAATACTTATTGGTGGCATTTGGGATAAGGAGGAGGCTGGGCTTTCAGAGTAGGCAAGCCATTTATTCTGATTAAGAAAGTTGTTTTTGAAGGACCACTGGACACACAAGATGTCCACAAAGCCCTGCAATCCATGTGTCTGCATCTTTGTGCAACAGAGATCTGTGCAACAGGAGTCATAGAGAAGTAGCAGGTAGTACCTAGGCCAGTCAAAGAGAATAGATAAGGTTTAAAAAAAAGTTAGCTGAGGTCTGGGAAGATGACTCAGCATGGAAGATTGCTGGCTGCTCAAAGCAGGAGGGCCTGTGTCTGAATCCCAAGCACTTACGTGCCATGAGGGCTGAAGAAAAGACCCCCTCCTGGCCTCTATCAGTACAGTGATATTTTAATTACTTTCTAGATAAAAAGCTGTACCTTGGTCTTATTGCTCAGGCCATGAAGCCAGTGAATTATGGAGCTGGGTTTTAAACTCAGAAACATCAGTGTTACCTAGGAGACCGCAGGGTACCCTGAATTTCCTGCTTAAGCAGCATGTGAAAGCAAGTTTCAGATGAGGCAGGAGCAGTGGCCTGACAGGGCAGAAGCAGTGGCCTAGTGGAGACCCCAGTCTTCTCTGATAGCAAGACAAAGAGAATCTACTGGTGATTCTTACAGCCAAGGCCTCTCATACTGATCCAGGAAGTAGAATAAATCTGAGAAGTAAGAATAAATTGTGGTCTTTCTGCTTAAACTTTGTTTCTCAGGTTAGTATTATTTAACCAACCACAGAGGCTTGGAGTTTTAGGTAGGTGTGAATAGACTGGTAGTCTCTGGCCCAAACACAGCCCTCTGTTTACTTGTGTAAATAAAGTTTTATTGGAACACAGCCAAGGCCCGTGGTTTAGCCATTCTCTACAGCTACTTGCTTTTACACTGCAAGGACAGAGCTAAGCAGTTGTGACAGACTCTATGACTGGCAAGGCCTTAAAAGTCTGTCTCCTTACAAAAAGCATCCTGAACTCCGGCATCGGGATTCTCTGAGGAGCAGACTCACCGTGAAGACCTTCTCTGGCTGACCTCGGGCTCTCATGTTGGTATCATGAATTAGCTTGAGAATCATCCAGGCTTCATCATGTTTTCCCACCTAAGAAATACACAGGGAGTCAGAGGCTAGGGCATTTATAACTGCCTTTGTGACCGTGCTGAGTTTTCAGAGCATACAGAAGGTGTTCAGCAATTCTCTACCGAAGCGCTCAAGCTCAGACTATCACTATAGAGCAGCAGTTCAAAATGTGCCTTCAACTAGAGATAGGACCTGTGACAATAACAGGTCCCCTACTCAACAGTGAGCAACAACCCCCTCATCGAGCGAAAGCTATTTGCTTAGAAAAGAGTGTGTGTGTGGCTCTGGCTGTGAGAGACCTTTTACACTCCTCTTGGCCTAAAGCATGTCTCGGCAAAACCAAACCCTGCAAAATTCCATAGTAGGGAGGGAGAATGTGCCTCCCAAAGAGCCAGGCCTGCTTTCCTGGAAACAGCGGGGAAGCCTTCCCAGTGTGCATGGGCCACTTGTGCTTCTGTGACAACAGACCTTACCTCCAGCAAGAACCGAGGGCTTTCCGGCATGAAGGTCAGGGCCACCACGGAGGAGACACAGGGGAGCGCACAGACGATGACAAAGACACGCCAGCTGTGGAACTGGTAGGCTGAGCCCATGCTGAAGCTCCACCCTGGGAAAAGACAGAGGAGTGAGGGAGAGCGCCTGTGCACAGCAGCTGGAAAGGTCAGTGTGGCCTCTCAGGGGTTTGTCAGCCATGTCTTACTACCCAAAGGAGAGTGGGCGGGCCTCTAAATCAGTTACAGTTACAGACACCTCCCCTCCCTCAACGGCAGTGCTGAGGACAAAGGTGCCCGAAATCAAAAGACTCAGGATGGAAGCAGGGGGTATAATGTTTAGGGTTACCCAAAGTCAAACCCCAATGGCCGGATGTGGGAGAATGTGATTTGCTACCGGCCACCTTGCTGGGGGCTTCCCTTTGCTCTTCCATATCATGTTCCTCTCTTTCCCATCTGTCTGCCAAAAAATGGCCCTCAATGGATTTCATTGTCCAGTTCCCAACCAGGTTTTGGGGTGGGATTCAGAAAGGCTTTTTTATATAGCCCAGGCTGGCCTTGAACTCATAATCTTTCTGATTCCACCTCCCGCTGACCGGTGTGATCACAAGCATCTGTTACCACACTTGATTCCCAACTCGGTCTGAGTAGGATGTAATTTCCTTGTCTCCTTCCTCCTTCCCTGGCCAGGTGGAAAAGTGGCGGTGGCCATGGGTGCTCCTGGACCCACTCTGACTCTTCAGCCAGCCCTCCCACTGTGGGCCTTTGAGGCTGCGGACTCCAGGGTGCTCTAGCACGTCTTGCTGATTTATCATTACAATTCATGCAGCCCTTTCATTTGAGCACCGTTAAATGGCCATCTGGGAGAAAGCTGACTTCACAGAAACGAGAACTTTTACCTCTGTTCGCAGGAAGAACAGGGGAATAGCAGGGGAATCCCAACTTCTAAGCAGACATTATAAAAATCAAAGTGTTATTACAATATATAAGAATACTCACAATGGGCTATAAACAGAGATCCCTTCAGGGATATAAACAGAGATCCCTTCAGGGATATAAACAGAGATCCCTTCAGGGATATAAACAGAGATCCCTTCAGGGATATAAACAGAGATCCCTTCAGGGATATATGGGTATAACCCTGAAAGCACGACTCAGCCAGGGTTCCAAATAAGAAAGAATGAGGCACATCCCACCGAAGCCAGAGCTGGGTTTACAGAGGGACAGGGGAACTGTGTGCTAGTCTTCAGCAAGGCTTGGTGACTAGAAAGCTTCTGTGAACAAAAATGAGGTAGTCTATGCCCCCTCCCCAGGAAAACAGCATGCTTGCCCTTTGTGGGACTCCTAGAAGTCTCTAGAATGACACAGTTCCACAGGCTACAAGCTGAACTCACAAAATCCTTACTCCAGGATTCAAGATGCTGCATACTAGCACCCAGACTTGTGCAAGCGACAGCTTGCCCACTGTGCTGTTGGCACGTGCCATCAACACCAGCGGCATCGATATTAAGCTTGCACTAGTTTCGTTCTGAGAATTTAATATGAGAAGAATATGGGTTGCTAAGCAACATGGAAAGAAAGGGTTCCTTAGAGCTTACAGTCCACAGGGAGGGAAGTAGGGCAGGAATGTGGAGGCAGGAACCCATGCAGAGGCCTCTTACTGGCCTTCTCCATGGTTTGTTCTCCTTGCCCTCTCATACAACCCAGGACCACCTGCTCAGGAGAGGCGCTGCTCACACTAAGCTGCAACATCCCAGACCAATCGTTAATCAATGAAATATCCGACAGTCTCCCTTCAGTCCAATCTGAGCGAGGCCTTTTCTTAGTTGAGGCTTCCTTTCCCAGATGACTCTAACTCATGTCAAGTGGACAAAACACTACGAAACAGCACATAAAGTGAAGCAAAGAGAGGACACAAGGGAAGCAGAGGCCAGAGGAGAGAGATCTGAAGGAGCTGCACTCTGCCTTTAAAGATGTGGGCCCTTACAGTAGTCACACACATATGTGGCTGGCGCCCATAGGCACGTGTGTAAGTGTGGAAATGAACGAGGAGGAAGTGGGGAGATCACTAGATTGTAGGAAAAACCATCACAACACTTCCTTAGGTATCCTTTGGGAGGAATAAACACGCTTCCAGCAGGCAAACAATCGAGGGAAGGCTGTGCATCATCCAGAGCTGCAGCACACGATGCTGGCGATGAGGACAATGCCGATGCCAATGTCTTCCTGTAATGTCAACCAGGTATTTGGGCGTAATGAGGTGACTCACTTGCCATGGGTCATAATGATCTGAGGGACATGGCGCTGGCGTTGCTTACCACATGTACATCAAGCTGTTGAAGACCTTCAGAAAATATAGCCAAGTGCTCTGTGAGCGGAGGACAGAAACTCCAATTTGTCTCCATGTTAGGACCAGGCCTGACTTTAAAAGAGAAGTCATCAGTCCCAGGAATTAGGCCATAGGTCACCAATTCCAGGAACAAGACCATAAAATCTGCTACCCAAGGAACAGCCTGGAAGTAACCTCAAGAATGGGAAGATATCTTATCTCAGGATGGGGCATCTGTGCTGGGCAGCCTTCCCTCATCCTGTAGATAAACATTCACGGCACAGAAATGCAGCCCACCGACCATCTGGACGCAAGCCAATTAGGATTCGACTTCCCTGGTACCCACCAATGAGGTTTTAGGTTACCTAACTTGCTAGAATTCCCCTAGTTTCCTATAACAAGCCCTTGTTTAGGGTTGTCATTGTGTTTTACCCCTGCACTCAGGTTTTCTCAAAATAAAGCACTCTTGCCAATTGCATATGTGGTCTCCATGCGGTGATTTCGGACTTAACACTCTGTAATTTAAAATATAACTCAGAACAGGTACGGCAGCTGTTGTAGTTTGGATAGGAAATATCCCCATTGCTTATGCATCTGAATTCTTGGTGCCCGCCCCGGGGTGGCGTTTTGGGAGATGGTGGGGGCCTCGGCGAAGGCTGTGTCTGGCTGAGCCCAGGCCTCACTGGTTACAGTCTGGACTGGGGCTCACCTGGTTCCCTTTCCACTTCCAGACGGTGGCTGCCCCCC